ACACACACACACACACACACACACACACACACACACACACACTCTCTCTCTAAAAATGCTGTGCTGTTTCAACCATATTTCAACAAATATGGACTAACCCAGCTGTTGGGTTAAAATTTGAAATTGAATGTTTAACCCAAAAGTTAGGTTAGTCCATATTTGACCCAAAGTTGGGTTGAAGCACACACAGTATTTTTTTATATAGTAATTGTTATTATTATTGCTACAGTTTCGCTCGTTTTTTACTTGTATTTATTTATTTATTTTACCTTGTATGTTAATTCAATGTCATTATTAATATCGTATATAGAGCCTCACATTTGCTTAAGTCAAATAGACACGTTCCAATAGATAATTTTCCTAAAAGGCAGACCGTTTCATAAGCACGATTTGGGGAATTATGATATCAGATGCACATTAAATTGACGAATTAACGAGCTAATGAAGGGAAAAGGTGAATATAATCATTCGCGTGCGCAGGATAATAACCCACACAAGTTCAAATGTCGATATATTAATGTCAGTATATTTGCATCCTTTATAGTTCCCAAATGTTACAGTCACAAATGTTGTTATTCACATAACTGAGATCGACATCGTGTTAAGTCTGCAACGCTGTGATTAGACACTTGCTCTGGCCAAACTAAAAACTAAAAATACAATAAAATAAAATAAATAAAACTCAACTTCTATTAAGTGTAATGTGACGTCAGGAGAAAGCCATTAGCACCAATCACACTGACAAGGCCTGTTGCTATTTATGCGTTTAAAGGGTCTGTCATCTGGAGAGACTATACTGCAACCTACAGGATGTAATGTACAATATCTGCTGCACAACAGCGGGCATAAGTGTGATTACTGAAAAAATTAAAACAAGATTATTGTAATCACATTTCTTTCACACGGTCAAATGGTATTCTATATATTTATATATATATATATATATATATATATAGAAAAGGAAATACATATATTACAAAAAATAACTGGTTGTTGGTTAGATGTAGGTTTTAATAGGTATCCAACTTTGTTTTCTTTTTTTTGTTGTATTTTTCATAGCAAAACGAAGATGCAGGGGAATTTAAAATCCACGTCAGCAATTCCCCAAAGAGCGTAATCTTTCTTATCATCATGCAGTTTATTTGTTTGATTGCTGTTTAAACAATTGCTGAAGTGGTTGGACTTGTGAGGGAGAGAAACATTCGTCACTCGAAGGCGCCTCGAGAACCCAGGGCTTTGTTTTTCTTCGCAGAGCTTCCCCGAGAGCGGACACAGATATATTTAGCAATTCAATATTTATATTTTCTGTCCAGAACTGCAAATATCCGTCCCCCGAAGCGCCTATTGTCACGAGGAGAGTAAAAACCTCTAATTTCGGCATTATTCTGCTCTTAGCATTGACAAACGCGGACTCAGAGACACCTTTAGTCAAAAGGTCAGCTACAGCAGTAGAGGAATCCAGCAGTCTAATACAAGAACACAACAATATTATCCCCACAATGAGAAACCTTCAAAGTCTTTCACGTATTTTCCTTCTGCACCGCGCACGCTTTCTCTAAGCCAAGCGTGCATCCTGAACGCAGCGGGGATAGTGGGTTTGATGTTGCCGGGAATTTTTGTGGCGATTATTTTCTTTACCTTTATTGTTATGACGAGGGCTGATTGTATCTCCACATCCTTTTGTTGGCTTTGATAAAGACTGCTTGTTTCTGCCTATGAGGCACGGCTGTGAAAACTGCCCTCGCCTTGCATTCGTATGTTTTAGTGCGCGTATTCACGACGAAGCCAAATTAAAAAAGGCCAACTGCAGTAAACAGTAGTAGAACAGATTCGTTTACAGAGCAAATAAATACACACACAAATAATTGTTCTAAATAGGCCTGATCTTTGACACGCGTAATGAAAATAAAACAAAATTCGTTAATTACAGAACCGAGTACTTGGATTATGCAAGCATAAAAAATCATAATAATAATTCATATGAATATTATTATTGTCATTCGGCATGCACAGTTAATTTGGATATTTTTAATTACATATTTAATATAAAATCAAATGACTTTGCGCATTAATTGTTATTTTTCTTTCACGATAATCATAAATGTTGCGTTGCACTGGCGATATATTTTTTTCTCTCGTTTTTTTCCGTATGGCCAATTAAGCTCACTTTCCACAATTAATTAGTCCCCCTCTCAGGGGGGATGATAGGGGTCTGGGACGGTAAACTGACACTGCGCTGTGTGTGGTATCCGAGCACTGGCGCAGCGGCTGATGGAAAAAGCCTGCTTCCACTCATGTCAAAATCATTTATCCAGAACAGCCCTTTACAAGAACTTGTATACACTTGGAGATGGACTTTTTTCGCCCACCCCCATCATGCGTACTTTACAAGACGCTCAACCAGGTCACTGCCTTACGTGCTCGCATTCTTCTCTCTTCGGCGAAGCGATGTGCTCTCGCTTCGCACTTACTTCTCCAGACGGTCAAACGCGCCGTTACATCGTACCACTCACTAGAAGTGCTTTTCTATTTAAACCTCCCGTTTTCCAGTGCCAGAACTCTCACCAAAACACGCCATTAATTACTGGAGCTCTGACAGCCTTCGCCCCTGTGTTTGGCGTGTGGCGCTGTTGATTGAAACGTCGGGCTAGGCTTGATAAATGGCGTTATTGCGTGTATTTAGGCTGTCAGAGGGGAGGTGGGGAGTCTCTCTCCTCGGACTCTGCACAGCCTCCTGCCAGACCGATAGCTGGAGGCATGCCAGACATGGAAAGGGGTGGGTCTCTGCAGTTTGAGGAGATTTCTTGGAGGAATTTAGTGGGGATCTAGGGGGCAGAGAGAGATTTACGAATTGATAGGTGGTCGCGTTTTGTTTGGCCGCACGTCTTTGCGCCAGAGGACTCTGGAGCGTTGAGTTTCCTTCTCTTAAAGGATTAGTCTTCACGATGGCCACCAAGAGACTAAGGAGGGGTCGCTATCCGGGCGACACACAGCTGGTGGCTTCAACCAGGAGCGCGTTCTGCGAGCAGAGCAGAATTGTGGCGCACTGACCTCGGCCGCCTTGAAGAGTCATTGGCTTTTAAAAGAGATTTGCTTGGAGTACAAAGTTTTCTCATTTATTTTTTTAGCCCAGACTCTACTTTTGAAAATTAAACCCGTATTTTTACATCCGTTCAGCTTCCTTTGGGCTACAAGGCTTAGCCATGACGACTGAGAGCTCTCAGCAGCAGCTGGACCCGACGCCGGCTCCCATCAGATCCAGCCCGGCATCCAGTACCATGCACTCGGCGCTTCAGAGCACACAGACAGCGCTGGAGAGCACAGCTGCGACCGGCAGCAAGGGCAAAAAGTCCAACTCGGGCATGAGACGCCCCGAAAAGCCGCCTTACTCCTATATCGCCCTCATAGTCATGGCGATACAGAGCTCCCCGACCAAAAGGTTAACGCTGAGTGAAATCTATCAGTTCCTCCAAGCGCGTTTTCCGTTTTTTAGGGGTTCCTACCAAGGCTGGAAAAACTCTGTCAGACACAATTTGTCTCTTAACGAGTGCTTCATCAAACTTCCCAAAGGCCTCGGGCGGCCGGGCAAAGGCCACTATTGGACCATCGACCCCGGGAGCGAGTTCATGTTCGAGGAGGGCTCTTTCCGACGCAGGCCCCGTGGTTTCCGAAGGAAATGCCAGGCTCTCAAACCCATGTACCGCATGATGAACGGCATCGGCTTCGGCGCTTCGATGCTGCCCCAAAACTTCGACTTCCAGTCGCCTTCCGCGTCCCTGGCCTGCCATACCAACAGCTACAATCTGGACATGATGAGCAACCCTGTGCCTGGCGTTCACACGGGTTACGATGGCCTCAGTACAGCAGGCCATCATGTCTCACACATGTCGCCCAGCTCGGGTTCTACATACATGACGGCGTGCCAAGTCGCTTCCAACGGCGAGTACGGCCCAGACAACAGCAACAGTCCGCTGCACTCTCCGCCGGCCATGAGCGGCTCTCTGGAGTGCCATTCGCCGTATGGAGCCGCCTCGGCACATTGGGCTTCATCAGGAGTGTCTCCTTACATTAAACAGCAGCCGCTAGCCTCCAGCAGCCCGACCTCCTCCGGATTACACTCGAGTATGCCGCCTTATTCTCTGGAGCAGGGCTATCTGCATCACAACGGCAGAGAGTCGGCAGACATCTCAGGTAAAGCATAATGTATCGATTTGAGATTTCTATATCAAGTTTAGCAGGTATAAAAAGGCATTATACAAATATAATATAAATAAAAATAATTTAGCTGCTTTTATTATAATAACATTTAAATTTAATGTCGTTTAAAATAAAAAAAGGCATGCTTAAATATTACAATTTAAGCAAACACATCGATGTTAAATCAGATTTGTATACAGGAGGCCGACACCATGTGTAGCAATTTAGCCAAATATTTCTCGATGTATTAGCAACGCGTATCGAAGCCATTTCATTAATGCTTTAAAAATGCACTTACTATGTCTTTATAGTACCTATTCATCGTTAATTATTTACAATTATGGACCATAGTATTTGCAGAAAGGGCAAATTCCTCGAGTCATGAGACTGTACAATCATATATATATATATATATTTTTTAATTTCCTCAAATTGGGACATGTAAGTAGCCTAAATTATTTTCAGAGGCCTGCATAGTTGTATGTGTTAAAGGCGCATTTAGACTAATGCATTAAAGTGTGTGCGTGGCAATTAAGAATTACTCACACTTTTTGAGTTGGTTTTCCTGCAGTGCTGTTTTGGAGACACGGTATGATTAGGAGAATAGCAGATGTCTGACGCAGAAGGCCTTTGTGAGCTGTTTGGGATTTAAATTTTTTTTTTTCTTTCCATCATTTCTTAAGGTTAATAAAACAGCAGATTGGCAATGAAACCCCGACATTAACGCAAACTAAAGAGGATTTTACACTTTGAGGGCTTTTTTTTTTTTTATCTGTGAGGCTTCGTATGAGGGCCAGGTGGACAAAAAAATAAACACTTCGTTTTAATATAAGAAAAAGCAAGACATATGCGGTGGATAATTGTTATAATTCTAATAATGCGCTGAAACAAAAATGGGAGGAAGTCTGATATCGGTTGAACTGAGTTCACTCACAGAGCTTTACAGAAAACAATGCCATTGTTCTTAAAAGACTGACATTGAAAGCACTAGAATGCATCGTCTGAGCCGCTAACAAGCATGTCTTCTAGTAAACCTGAACACAATAGGCTATGACTTTTCTGTAGAAAGCGCTAAACTGAAATGCATCCAAAGAAGATTGTGAAGACAATTAAGCACACGTTCGATGACGACATTATTCAAGCAATATACTAATAAAGGTGTGTTTTTCCCGCTCAGCAGGAATGTCTCGATACCAGTCCCACTCATCGCCAGTCTGTGACAGAAAAGACTTTGTGCTGAACTTCAACGGTATCACGTCGTTTCATCCATCCAGCAGTGGATCCTACTATCACCATCAGCTTCATCACCAAGGAGTCTGTCAAGATGTAAAGCCATGCGTTATGTAATTGAAACCATGACAAGCAGAAAATAATAATAATAGTAATAATAATAAACCCGAACGTACGGACTGTGTGCGTTTGATGCACGGTTATCTATGAAGAATAAATACAATCAATGGAAGGCGAAACGAGAAACTATGAAGAAAGAAACGAACTGTTCGGAACCGAGGACTCTGCGGGCAGCGAGAGCGTTTGGGCTTTTTTTGGGAAAGATTATGACATATATTTACTATCTTGGAAAGACCTCGAAGCGTCTGCAAACGAGGAGACGTGATTTTAACAAAGCTGTTTATCCAGTCCATAATCAATAGCCAAGTCTTTTGTTTGATCTGACCACGTTTTCAGCGAGGACGCGAAAGGCTCAATGACTGAGCGTTTAAAGTCGTAGTAAAATGAAACCTTGTTATTTTCGATGCACTCAGCAACACCACGAAATACTGAGTTCAATGGCGGGAATCAATGCATGTCACAAACCCACTTGAATGCCAAATATCGTATTTGTCTAAACCTTATGTGTGTTTCTTTTTTGTCGGCTCTTCAGTATTTCCACCTCTTATATTTTCAGGGGTGCATGTGTAGGTTTGTGGGTAATTCATGTGTAAGAGGCCTACAAAAAAACGTATTAGAATAATAATGATTGCACTTTTGTTAGTTTAACTAGTTGACAAATTACAGTTATGTACAGTACAATAAAACGATGTATTCTCAACAAAAAAACAAAAACAAAAAAACCAGTAAGTGTATTTATTTATTTATTGCTTAACCGTGCTCAAATGAGTTATTTTTTATTTTCTGTAAAACACGACCAAGACTCCTTTATTGTAGCTGGTTTGAAAAAAACAACAAAAAAGCTTTCTAATGATTAAAATCAGTTTATACCAACTACTCTGCCAGTGCATGAAACTCCCCCAAACTTGCGCTTACAAACTTTCTTTTGCAAAATAAATAAATAACCGGTCAAATATTTGAACCAGCAATATTGTGGCTTATTGTATGCATTTAGCCAATTGTCTGTGAAAATGTATCTTTTAGAAATAAGAATAACTCGCTTCTTCAACATCAAATCCGCTCTTCAAAAGAAAAGAACGCGTCCTTATTACACTGTAGCAAAAGTAAACAGGTAGTAGCCTAGGTAAAAAATAAATACAATAGAGGTAATAAACGAATGAAACTGCAAAGAAAGCCACACTTTTGATCATTTTATGATCAATAATCACAACTCGTAAAACTATTATCGGAAATTATCGGCGCACTCATAATACGCTCTTTTATACGCACTCTAAATCAAGCATACAAATAATACTACACTTCATATTTCTCATTGAAATCTCGATTTAAATAAAATCTCAGTTGTCAAAAACACGTTATATTCCGACTCCCATGAAATCAGTGACAGTCGAATAAAAGCAGAGTTTGAGGATTATTGGAATTATTAAGGAGCAGAAAGAATAGAGAAAGTCAACAAGCGTGCCGAGGTTAACTCAGCTTAACCCCTACTGCTCAGTTTAAGGCCTACGCTTTACACGACCTGCTGGATTTCAACAGCTAAACGCGGTGCGATGTCGCCATCTACCGTTACAACAAACACTGTGCCACTGGATAATCGTTATTTGTTACTTAAATGCTTATGGTTACATTCTTTCCCCTCAAAATAATACAAACTAAAACAAAACTTCTTATTAAGAACAAACCAGATTTGATCCATTGTCAAATAACAACACTTCAGTGTCTTGCATAATTCCAACCCTGATATTACATCTTTAAAATCAGTATCGGCTAAATATAATTCACATACATTAATTTAAATTGTGCATTAGTATATTGCATTAAACATTCATGTCTCAACATGCATAACAGTGCTCGTAATTTTGTCAACTAAATAAATGCATTGTTTTTACAATATTACGCGCAAATGTTTAGTTAAAAAGTGCATGCATTTAGAGACAAACATACTAAGCACATTCAGAGAGAAGTACACTTTGTCAACTGTGCGGTCTTACAAAAAAACATATTGTTCATTCACATTTAAGTACTCAAGCGTTATTATTTGATAATGATAAAACCTCTTTTTTTCTTATCAGAGAGGATGAATGCATTTTTCCTCTCAACAGTATTTGAAAACGTTGTTTTAGTTTTGTATTATTTTAAGGAAAAGGATTGTACACAAAGGCATTTAAATAAGCTTCAAAGCATAGCGTGCAAACACAACGAATTGCGTTATTCCTCAGCATGCTTTTGCATGAGCTAAAAAAGCAGTGATGCTGCTGCTGCTGAAAACAGCCTCGAACATGTGAACTGCAAGACGAGGCGAATACATGATTACAAACTTGTCAAATCAGCAGCATAATCTAACTCGCAGCTATTATCATCACTGTACAAATAGCCTATGGTGTTTTGGCAGAAATGTATTCATTATAAATCTTATTACTTCTATTAAATAGGCTATTGGGAGATATTTGACATTTATAGAAGTTGTTTTTGTAGTTTCTACATGTTTAGGTTTTTTATTACAAATTCCATTGTTTATTATGACTTATTATTTATTTTAAAAACATATAACCATGGTAATGAAGACCATGCTTTTACGTGTTGTGACCACCATCTTACTAAAACGAGCTAGCTAAACTCTAAATTCTATGCGAGTCTATAGTAACTTTCATTCGGGCAAAGGATAACTGAACAGAATAGCGTCTTTCTCTTTAGTTGTAATTTTAATTGAAGTATAATGATAACAATAATCAGAGCCTGATTGAAGATAATTATCAGTGTCTTAAATAAATTAGGTGAATGCTATTTAGAAATATTAAAGTTATTAAAGGGATGGTTCACCCAAAAATGAAAATTGTCATCATTTACTCACCATCATGTTTTTCCAAACGTGCGAATTTCTTTCTTCTGTGGAACGTAAAAGAAGATAATTATATATATATATATATATATATATATTTTTTTGTCTATACAGTAGAAATCAAGGGTAAGTAAAATGGTTTGGTAACATTCTACAAAATATCTTCTTTTGTGTTCCGCAGACGAAAGTAAGTCATGCAGGTTTGGAACGACGCGAGGGTGAGGGAATTATGATAGAATTTAATAGCAGTACATTTTCTGCATTCTAGCTCAAAAATCAATGCTTTAGTGTCAAGTGCATTTCTATGCGACAAAATGCATTATTACGTTTGTTGCATTTGCCGTGAATTCAGTAATAGCTATTATTATGTGTTTCTGTCCTGTTTTATTTATTCATTTATTTGCACCAATTTAAGGTCCTATAACTCAGCAAAACATTTGTCCAGGGCCGGATTTGAACCCCAGTCCAGCCCTGAATATGATCTTGCGGAAAAAGGCATTAATGTGCTTTATAAGTATAAAAGGCTCATATGCATGCTAATAAGCAGCTAGTTAATAGTGAATAGTGTTCCCTAAAGTGTTACCAATTTCAAATGACAATTTGAATGGCCTGTGTCCGTGTTGAATAATTTAGTAACCGTAGTCAAAAATATACAGCATCTGCTGGTTTACTGTAACGTGTTAAACAAGTATTTCCTAAAACCAGTTAATTACAAATTATAATTCATTTGGTGGAAATAGCCTACGTTACAGTGACACGCAGTGGGCATGAATAAACAACAAAGCCAATAAAGCATGCTTTTTTTTTTTTTAGTAAAAGTGCAGTAACCATGTTTTTTTTGGCGTATTGATTTCCGTTTGTATAACCACAGTTTTACTACAAATACCATGGTTAAAAACTATGATTAGTCTAGCAAAACCATGGTTAATTTGTGGTTCCCGTGGTTTAACTACACTCTTAAAAATAAAGGTGCTTCAAAAGGTTCTTCAAGCGATGCCATAGAAGAACCATTTTTGGTTCCACAAAGAAGCATTCAGACAAAGGTTCTTTAAAGAACCATCTCTTTCTTGCGTTTTTGTAATCTGAAGAACCTTCTTTCGCCACAAAGAAGCTTTTGTGAAACAGCAAGGTTCTTCAGATGTTAAAGGTTCTTTATGGAACCATTTAGACAAAAAGGTTCTTCTATGGCATCGTGAAGCACCTTTATTTTTAAGAGTGTAGTAGCCTAACCATTTTTTTTGTAGTAAAACCATGTTATTTTTCGTGTGGATGCAATGAGTCTCAGAACAACCCGATTCTGATCAAGCTTGTCTCACCTGCCAGCTGTTTCTGCTGAAATATCGCCCTCCTCGGACACAGTTTCCGTCACAAGATTAAGATCACTTTATCTATATTTATCTTCTTTTTTTTATTAAAAAGACAAAACAAAAAAAAACACTAGCTTTATGTTTTTTTTCTATTCTATCTACTTATTTTTCTTATTTTGTTTTATTTTTCACACACACACACACACACACACACACACACACACACACACACACACACCTTGCTACGTGTACTGTGTTAGGCTAACCGAGACTTGTCATTTGCACTTATATATTGTTGCTCTTTTGTTAGTTCAGATTGCTTCTATTGTCCTCATTTGTAAGTCGCTTTGGATAAAAGCATCTGCTAAATGACTAAATGTAAAGATTCGTGGAGTGATTCTAAAACGTGATTTACTGTAGAAGTACTGTAGTAAAGTTAAACTCATCAAATATGATAAGGCGACCAGATTTATGAAATGGAAACTGGGGGTCAGTGGTATGTTAGTTCATAGTTTAAAATTTTAATTGTGGGTTCCATAAACTATTATTATAATGTTTGCAAATTAAACTCGACCTCATACAATGCACCTATGACAAATAGTAAACAGTAACCACTGCAAACAGATCAAAACAGTATATACTGTAACACAATTATGACTTTACAAAAACACATGACAAGAATAAAACAAATACGGGGACATGATAAATAAAACGGCACTTAACAAATATATTTTAACATTTTCTAATTGCATTTATTTTCATTTTCACAAACTGTAAATAGCCTATACTTTATATAGTAACAGCCTTTCAAATGTTATTTTATGCTTGTTTTTGTGCTGTCTTTACTAGCCCCAATTTAGGCTAATTTTGCTTTCTGCAAATGTTATTGTTGCAAATGTAATTGTTCATGTTGTGTGCAAAATAATCCTGCACCCTGTTCAGGTCCTGTTATTTATTACATACAAACAGTATTTCTTTAATTTAACATGAATAGCTAGTTACTATACCTTGTCCTGCTGGTTTGCAATGACAATAGCACAATTATGACATTTATTCTTTCGTAAACTATTCTTCTCATAGAGTCAGTTTCATAAGATAACCACTACACGCTTGCTCTGGTGACCAGCAGCCTGTGGACGGCTTTCTTTGCATTAAAACAGGGACATTTGAGCTGAACTCTGCAGGATATTGGCCCTCCAGGAGCAGGACTGGACCCCCTGATCGAGGGATTATGTTAACAGGGTGTTGCTTCAGCTGGTAATGTTGAGAGATGCATGTGACTTTAGCCCTAAAGCTCATTTCTAATTCGTTAACGTAACAATATTACTTATCCGAGGTCACAGCAATCTGGTTTCCCCTGTTAGCAGTCCCTCTGTGAGTTTGTGAAAAGCAGCCAAACAAACTGATCAATACGTGTCCAAGTGTCCTAGCACTGTACTGTATCGTAGTG